TCATCAGATATCTTAGCAACATTAGCTTGCTTAAAACCGTAGTTGCTTTGGCTTCTCGTGCCCTTGGTCAGTGTAAGTCCGCTGACAGGTACATCGCTCTCGGGCAACACCTCCCCGTCATGGCCACCATGACTGAGTCTGTAGCAGATGCTATGATCAAGCATCTTAAGAAGACTCCTCGACTTGTTGTCTCTACTAGGTGACCGACGGAATTTCCAAGACGGTATTCTTGCTAATGTAACCTCCCAGCGCAGGACATGTTGACATAGGGCAAGCATACAAATCCCACCAAGCCACAGTAGCGCCTTCAGAATTTCCCCTTGGGGTGAGCTAGCAAAGAGCAGAATGTTAATGAGTCCTGTAGCAAGGAGCTGCAACTCGGTAGGCAATAAACTAGTTGTGGAAAGAAAATGCAAAGTTGTTACAAGCGCCTGGTGTAAGGGGAAAATAAGAAGCTGTAGCTCCGGGTTGAGGCCCTGAAACGCCTCAGAGCTTCGTGACGGGATATCCGAGATGATAACTGGCAGAATGGTAATCGCCCAATGTGCGATGATGAAGTCATGCCGTACATTGTAGAAGGGTATAACGGGAGAAGGTATCGAAGAAAGTCCGAGTATTATATTTGGTAATATTGACGTCTGATGATTGTGTACCAGCGACAACGCAATTAGCACAGGGAGGAGAACGGGGTATATTAGAGGAGCGGGATCGAGATTCGTCGAGAATGGGAAGGCCGCAATAGCTTTCCAACTGCGCCGTCGAAAACCATGCGTAGAAATTTGAAAAGGGTATATCAAGTAAAGTACAAGAATCGTAATCGAAAATGTCAAAAGCTCTAAATGAGCAGAACACAATATCAGCACCTCTAGCACTTGTCAAAAAATAAACAAACAAATAAATAAATACATAAATAATGACAGATACGTACCTCTATTCCAAGCTCTAGCAGCGAATCTTACATCGTTCCCAAAATATACCGTCGCGGCCACAGCAAGTACCAGCACCGTCTCAAACAGCCTTCGTAGAACTTCGATGCGGTTCCGCCTAGCCACCTGGGCCAGGGCATCTTCCTCATCGCCATCCGCAGCCTCACCCGAATCTCTTCTCGAAGCCGCTGACCTCGACCTCCTGAAAGCATACCATAACCGCTCTGCCGTCGACTCCGCACCCGTCTCCTGGCCACTCCCTCGTCCAGCACTCAGGTTGTGTCTAGGTCGCGCCCGGGGCGCCGGCAAGCCTTTCAAAAACCCCGTGCTCTCATCGTCCGCCTCCGTTCCACTTTCACTAGAAGTCCTAGACGATTTTCTCCACGAGGAAGTATAGTGGTTGCCACGTTCACCGTTGCCTGTCGGGGTGAGGAGGCCGGGTCCGTGGCGATGGTAAGGGTGCGGCGATCGTGAAAGTTGCCGTCGTGAGCTCAGCGCTGAAGCAGCTATAGGTGAGGGATCATGGTTTTCATGGCTTTCGTCATTTCCTCTGTCGGCGACTTGGGTTGCCATATCATTCTGGTCGAGTATTGGGTTTGGAAGAGCTGGGAGCGATCACCCTCACGCCATAGCTGGTTGGAGCTCGCTGTGACGTCGAGAGAAAAAACGGCGGTGCGTGACCGGAATTGTCAATCAACAACCCGGATAATATTTAAATAACTAGGTAGAACCCACCTTACGTCATCTGTAGTGGTTCATTGTGGACAGAAACCTGTTTTTTGCATCTCGATATCGTCATCATCAACCGCCATGTTTTTCCCTCGTGTTTTATACTTGTTATTATGGCGCTACTTTCGGTAACTTGCATATCAGCAGTTGGCTCTACAGAGTAGTTATAGGACATGGAGTAAATTCCTTTTGATTTCATTGGCGTTCCTACTCTCCAAGCAGTATAGCAATCAAATTTTCAAATATACAGCCGTAACTAGTTTCAAATTGATCGTTGAAATGGTCATAATAATGCAATCCAAAATATTTTCACCCCTTCAAGCGAATATGAACCACAATACCCGCGGCAAGTTTCAACGCCCTTGGGCCCCAGACAGATGTAGCTGGGACGATCTGCCCCAGCTGCCCAACACTCCCATCCAGGGGATAAGAGGTATATACCGTCGAATTAACATGATCGATGGTCTCGCCATGCACATCAATTTCTCTCGCTTTCACGAAATCTATCGCGTCCCGTATGCTCACTTCCAAATCATGGGTTGGTTGTCCCGCGGTGCCGTCTTGTACCCCTATATAATAACACGACCCAAAACCGGTGCCTTGTGACCGGCTTAATGTCCATGACCCATTGCGTTGTGTTTCCTTAGACGTAGTTAGTTGATCTGACCTTGTCCCCAAACCCTGCCACTCAATATCAACTGCACGTGGTAGCGCCGCGACCTGCACCGCGAAAAACGGCGGAGTGCAAACGGATCCCCTGACGATATCGAAATTTGGCAGGTTTTTCTTCACATCCGCTGCGGAATACTTCCCTAGACCCCGCTGGTTTCCATATTTGAGGTCCCAACTATCAAATCCAGGCGGTTCCTCGTCATCCTCGTCCTCCTCTCCAGCCTTCAGGGATGACGGATCGCGGTTCATATGCTCCCAGATATCCCACGCCAGCTTAGCCTTTGCGGGGATATTCTCATCCCCAGCTAGAAGCGCCACGGCCCCCAACCACCAGTCCACCTCCATGACTCTCCCAATCCGCCACAAATGTTGCAAGGATAATACCAAACGAGATACAAATGGATTAAACCAGCCGCTACTCTCCTCCGTTGGAGCAGGGTTGTATATTTCCATCGACCCAGGTTCCAGGGGTATCTGCCCCGCAACATATACTAGCCCGCCATCGTGATCAATCCTTCCATGTTTGTGTAGCGGGATGCACTGTGCTTGTGAATATGGCCCTATATTTGCTGGGGCCCAGTAAGAACGTGACTGGACGTGTAAGCCCAATCTACACTCGCGCGGCAGCATATCTATGACGAAAGACGCGAGGACGTCCACACCAGGAGGCATGTTATCGCCGCATGCCACAGTTACTCTGGCAGGGGGTTTCGGTTTGGTAAATAGAGAAGCGTAAATGGGGTTTATTAGAGTGAAGTCGTCCATTGATCGTAGGAGGACGGTGGTAAATACAATGTCCGCGGTAGTTGTGGGGCGTCTAGTTCCAGTAGTTGTTGAGGTAGCTTGTAGCAAAATCGTCTCGAGCTTTCGTGCGATAGCTTCCATCTGATTCCCCGCCCCAGGACCAACTTCAGGGGCGGAGAGGTTCGAGATAGTCCATACATTTTCTCCCTTGATTTGACACACAGCCACCTTCCGGCTCTCTTCATCACCGTAATTACCATGTAACCTGTGATCCTGGACCTCTTCTTCTCGAACATCCTCATACTCCCCCCCGCGCAGAAGCATTTCATCCAAAAGTTCCTTAAACCCGGCATCAAACAGCTGCGGCACCCTCACCAACCTCAAACCCCCATCATCATCATCATCATCCCCGCCCCTTTCATCCTTCCGCACGCACGTAGCCCCCCGAATCCTCACAGCAGCCACACCCCCCTCCCCAACCCTCCTCTCAATCCTCTCAACCACAATCCTCCCCTTCCACAAAACCCCCGGCCCATCCAACGCAATAGTCTCATACTCCCCACCCTCCCCCAACACCGCCCCCGCCACCTCCCCTTCCCCCACAAACCTTCCCATCCCCCGCACCAACCCCCTCCTCACCACCCCGCCTTCCCCATCCGCCCTCCCCGCAACATCCCCCCACAAATCATCCACATCCAACCCTCCACTAGAAATCTTGATAATCCGCGCCTCACAACCGCACGCGGCCATGTCGTCCAACAGCCCCGCGACAGCTGCGGGGGAGTTGGCTGGCACCAACTCACGCTCCACCGGCGGCGGGAGGGTCGGATACATCCACAGCCAAGCTAGGGGGGTCAGTCCCAGACGACTAGCGACATTCTCGACTCGTGTGCGCTGGTAGGTGGAGAGGATGGCGCCGGCGCAGACGGCGTTGGCGGTTGGGTGGGCCTTGAGGACCCGTTGGAGGAGGTGGAAGATGGATTCGGTTTCGTCTGTTGCTGTTGTTGCTGCTGCTGCTGATGATGAAGGTGGTGACGGTGAGGGTGGCTGGTAGTCTCGCGAGGTGTTGAGGGCCGTGCCGTGGATCGGGGCGCGGTAGAGCGGAATATTCAGGGCATATTGGTAGAGGGGAATTATGCTGTGGCCGACTGTTTGGTACATGTAGCTATGGAGGTCTTCTTCCTCTTCCTCTTCCTCTTCTCCCCACTGACCAATCTCCCCATTGCCATTCACTTCCTGACCCCCCACTCTACCCTTCTGCACAACATCCCCATCCTGATCATCGCATTGCAATGACCCCGTAGTTACATATGCATCATAATTGGCACTGCGTTTCGGCCGCAAGGGCGGATGGAGGTTCGCGAGCGCAACGACCTTGTGTCCATTTTTGAGACAGTGAAGGATGACGTAGAGAGAGTCCTTGCCGCCTGATATCAGGGCAATGACATTGAGCTGTTTCTGCTGCTGCTGCTGCTGTTGTTGTTGTTGGGGCATGGTAAAAAATCTTGAATCAGGTCCAGTTCAGGGGGAACAGAAAGTGACCAGGGCAAGGCGTGCAGCCGATAAAGAAAGACCCTTGGTCTGATCAGATAGATATCCAGGAATCCAGGAATACAGTTGTTCTCAACGCAACAGAAACAGAAATACAACTGAAAGTAGAACTAAGACCATCCTTTTCACTCAGGTTTGCTTTTCACCTAGGAAACTCAACGTAGCAACTACGTACACATCTTGTTCCTCTTCTTTTTCTGTGCTTGTCGTTTTCATTCAACAAGAGAATAAACACTGGTCAGAATATTTTTCTACTCCCAATGAAGCCGGCCAGGTTTGAACGGTGTAAATGTACATGTACATATACAGTACATACGTCTGTCTGGCTGGGAGAAGTTGGCGAGGCGAGGGGCGAGTTGGTCAACCTTTGGTAGGGTAACTAGCTTAATAAGCACCGACCAGGAAGACGGCTTTCAACCACCATATCAGCTCAATAACGTTGAATTCATTGACATTTAATTTCATCTGGTCTAAAGCTGAACACATAATAGATGTCTCTGTTCAGATACAGATGCAGATATATATTAATATATATATAATATATTGAATATTTTTCACTAATATATTGCGTGTGTGATGCATGACTGTGTGATATATTTTCATGTCATTCTGCACATTCAAACAAGAGATATAGTAGTTAATAAGAAAAAGCAAGGAAAATAGAAAAATAGACAAAAGAAAGAAATATGGAACATGAAATGAAATAAATATAAATTCTCTTCTCGCTTTTGTTTGTCTCTATCTTCTACAGAATGTCACACGAATACAGCAGAGAAATAAAAGTGAGAGAGAGAGGGAGAAGAGTGAAAGACAAGAGAATATAGAAAGAAGTCATTTCATCTTTTTTTTTTCCGACTTTCTTTATTTTTCGTGGGTGGATTTCATTGATATATGAGGATTTGAGAGGATTGAGTAAATGGTAAAGGAAATAGCAGAATATGATTTTTTAAAAACAAGAGTAAAAAAGGGCGATACACCTGATATAGCTGATATAACACATGGGGCAGGGGTGTTACATTTAGTGTGGATATATTAAAAATTGACAGATTTCAAAAAAAAGGGGGAGGGGGGAGGAGAGAGAACAAATGAAAATTTGATAAATGCCTTTGAAATAGTTTATCATGTTGTTCGTGACCAGCACCTAGAAACATGACAAATGAAAATTGGGAATGGTGAAAGGAAGATATAGAAACATATATAGGAAAAATATGAGATGAGATGAGACAAGGAAAGGGAAAAAGAGAAAAGACAAATCTGAGAACCATGGCCCTGAAAATGAGATAGAACCAGGAGAAAAGTGGAAGAAAAAGGGGTTGGGTATTTTTCCATCCAGAAGTAACTTGGCCCTTGGGGGGAACAAAAGGGATGGATGAAAACAATAAGATCCAAGAGGAAGAACAGTAATAATTAATACAGCAAGAGGGAGTTCAAAGGAAGAAGAAAGGAAAGATAACGAGAAAGATAAAAGAAACGACTAAATTTATACCAAAACGAGAAACGCAGACAAAATGCAAAGATTGCTTTGGGAGGTTTCTTTAAAACATCTGATCACCCACCACCCCCTTATTTCCTAACCCTCTTTCTTGCGCACACGCACATACCAATAACCAAAGGACAGCAAAGCTGTATCGTGGCAGGGAATGACAATCCATCCACGCATGGTTTGTGACACCTTCCTCTCTGCCCTGCTTCTTTGCTTCCTTCCTGCGTCCCCCGCTCTCAATGACCTATGACGAAATCCGGGCGAGGAATGTTTATCGATCGGATTAGCGTTAAGGGTGGAAAATTATTGTCGAGTCGACGGAAAATTATATATAGAACCCAAAAATGAAAACATCCAATAGGAAGGAAATGTCTCACGATGACCCCTAACACACACCTTACCCAAAAAATGAGAATAAAAATTAAATAAATAAATTATCCCACGACGCCAGTAAACAGCAGTAGAATTAGTCACACCAATGTAAGGAGAAGAGGGAAAATGTTTATGAGGGAGTTTTTCCTTTTCAAGAGATATCAAACTCCAACAAGGTCCAAAGACCAATGCATGCATGCCTGAGATCTATTATACGGGATATGTAGAAGGAGGGAGGACTTGATGAGGTATAAGAAAATATGTAATCTCCTGGTCGCATGGCAATCGTAGCGCCCGGCTCCTAGCAATCAGCCGGGAGAAGGGCGGACAGATGGGTTTTTTTTTTTTGCTCTTTTTATAGACACAAAAAGTATTTAAAAAAAGACGGAGAGCAAAGAGATTACGCGGATTCCTCCCTCTTGCGCTTCTTGATGGGCCGTTTGCGATCGGGGAATGGTGTTGGTGACATGCCATTGTCGGAGGACGATTCACTGGTGGTGGACTTGTTGGCGGCGGCCTGGGCAGCCTCGTACAGCACCGCTCCTAGCGCGCCGGCGTCTTGGTCATCGTAGGGCGAGCCGCTGTCGGTATGCATGTCGCGTGTGTCTAGGACACCCATGACAATCGCGCCACCGCCATGTGTGCGGGCGTGTTGGGCGAGGTTGTCGCTGCGGGAAAACTTCTTGCCACACTCGTGACATTCAAACGGTTTGTCTTGGGTATGGAGTGATCTGTAGTGGCGCTTGAGGTGTTCCTGGCGACGGAAGCGACGAGAACATAGTGTGCAGACGAAGGTTTTGGAGGGATCTTCCGTAAGAGATTGCTTTCGGCCGCGACGGTTGACAGGGACCACAGGGGCAGGGATGGTGGCATCGGAGGTGTTTGACGTTTGCAGGTTACTCTCGGAGGTCTCCTTTGTAGGGGCGTCATTTGTCTGGTGTTGTTGCTGTTGCTGTTGCTGTTGCTGCTGGGTAGAGGAGGTAGATTCACCAAGTGTGTGGGTGCCATTGGTGTTGCCGTTCGCATTACTGCCACGGCTGTTGACATTGGCCTGGGCAGCCTTGATGATGGAGCCAAGGGTATCCGAGTCGCTGTCAGAGGACGACGGGCGCTTGACCTGTTTGCGCGGGGTCAAGCGCTTCTTCGTCCTCATGTCACCGGTCGCCAGGGTGGAGGTGGTGGTGGGGGTGGACTCCGGTTCTGGCAGCTCAGAGGGCAGGAGAGGCAAGCCAGAGCGAGCGAATAAATCCTCGTCGTCAAAGTCCTCGAGACTCTGCTCACTGACGAGATCGTCGGCGTCGGGAGAGTAGGAAGCGACGCGTCGACGTTTGTCACCGAGGAAGAAAGTATTTTCGGTCGGGGTAAAGTCGACGATGTCGTTGACGAATTCGTCCTCGGAATCGAGGTCAGAAAAGCTGTCAAACGACGGCAGGCTACCCAGGGTATCGTCAGTGTGGTCAGCGGAGTCGCTCAGGGAGGTGTGCGACAGATGATGCGGCAAGGAATTAGTTTCGGCACCCAGGTTAAATTTGTGGGCCTCGTGGTCGGGGTGGAGATCGTCGGGATGGTGGGAGGGCGACGACAGCGAGGGCAAGGGAGGGAAATCGGACGAGGAGGAGGACTGGGCGGAGGATTCGACGGTGAGCTGGCGAGGATCGCAGAAGTCGGAGCTGCAGGGCGGGGGAGGCAGCGAGGCGGGAGGAGGGTGAGGGTGGTGGTGGTGTTGGTGATGTTGGTGAGGGTGATGCAGAAGTAAGGAGGTGAGGACGGGCGAGGGCGAGGGCGAAAGGGAGGGACACGAGTTAGCGGCCGTGCTAGCGGAGGCCACCCTGGAGAGGACCCTGGACAGCCCAGACTGCAGCCCCTCGCGGTGGCTGGCTCTGGCTGGGCCCTGGATGAACACTGCAGCACCCGCAACACCACACACGCACAGGTTAGTAAGAGCCAAATTAATTTGTATGCATCCATAGCTGCCAAATTAATTGTAAGGCGGCAGATATATCGATGTTTTTTATCATTTTTTGGAGGGTTTTTCTCTCCTGCCCTTTTTTGGTTTTCCTTTCGTGTTTTTTTTTTGTTTCTTCACCCAACAAACAACCAGCCAGTCCTTTAAAAAAACTTCCCCCGAAACAGACAATGTCTATTTTCCTTGCCAACACAATAAAACAATGCATAGTTCTCATTGAACTACCACCAAATATCGGGGGAAAATATAAATTTCTTGAAAAAAAAAAAAAAAAAAAAAAAAAAAAAAAAAAAAAAAGGAATTGATGGAACATACCTGGCGTCATCGGAGGGGAACTCGACCGTGCCCAGTCAAGATTAGCCAGTATCTCGGTCTGCACATCGCTCTGGCACCCCTCCTTCACTCCTTCAATCGTCTCCAATTGGAAAAAACTCCCATTCACCGGCGTGTGCAGCATCCCACAGCTCGATGGCGGGCTGCTCACGGTGCTTCCAGATGACGACAAGGGCGGCGTCGACGGGAAGCCGTAGAGATCGGTAGTGCCGTTGTTGTCATTGCTATTACCGCACGAGGTGTCCAGGGGAATCAGTGAAGGAAGGTCCTGGTGCAGCACAATACTGGGCTTGAGGTGCAGTGGTTGCGGTGGTTGCGGTGATGCGGTTGGCGGGGTCATATGCATCGTTCCGTTCAGCAGGCTCATTGCATGGGTCTGGGCTGGGAGGTGGCCGTGGGGGTATCCGGCGGGCTTTTCTTGCATGGTTTGTTGCGGGTGCAATGGTTGTTGCTGTTGCTGGATAGCCTGGTTTGGGTAGATTGGCATTTGCCCATTTGGGTGCTGCTGCTGTTGCATCTCTGAGGGATGCGGCGAGAAGTGGCCGTGTTGCCCATTGTGTGTATCCGGGTCGGGATTGTAATAATAAAAGGGCGAAGGCCCGGAAACTGGCGCGGCATGCATGGCGTAGGTAGGTTCCATGACGATTGGCGTTTTTGGAGTCTGCAAAGGATATCAATCCTATCAGTCTCTCTCGAACAATTGGCACAAACCAGCTTCCATGTGCGATATGGTTATTATCACCCTTCATTGACCTCCGTATGATACACGCTTTTTTACCTCAACCCTCCCCTAGCTCCTCACCAACCAAAAGACAACAACACGGACATGCGACTTACCGATAAGATCCAAGAAGAATAAGAGACTGTCTCTTCCGGTATGTAGCGAAGATATTAGAAAAGCAATATGGGGGGGGTAATTCGATCTCAACTGAAATCCTTGCAAGATATGTTGAGTCCGCTTCGAAAGGGGGGCGAGCAGTGATCGAATACAAGGTAAAATAGTACATGCGCAAAAAACGAAGTGGGAAGAGTAATAGTGACAAATAACGCGGTATAGGAATTGGGGAGAGAGAGAGAGAGATATAGAGATTATATTAATTCAAGTGATTTTTGACTGCCAAAGGAGTGACTGGCCGATCCCCACGACGTCTAAGAGAGAGTAAGTGTTAAGTTGCGATTATCTCGGCGATTCGAGTCAAGTATGTTTTGTATCTGGTCTGGTTCGCGTTGGGATTTGGTAAAGGACCGTAGAGCGATAAGATTATCGAATATGCATAGTACAAGATTTGCAAGTATTGCAAGATATAAGAGTGTATAGATAGAGAGTCTGTTTGCTGCTGCTGCTGCTGGATGGGCCAAAGGAAGGACTGGGGACGGTTCGAGCAAGATGGAGGAGTCCAGCCGAACACCGTGAGGAAGAAGAGAAGAGTAATAGAACAGTAATAGTAATAGTAAAGTATAAAAGATATAATAAAGGTCCGAATTAGAAGAGAATAATAAAAAAAAGATAATAGAAGAATTAAAAAAAAAAAAAAAAAAGGGACGGGCAAATAGCCACAAACAAACGAAAGAGGGAGAGAGAAAAGGGCCCTGGTGGTGCGGGATGGAGGGAGAAGAAGAAAAAGAACGACGACGACAGACAATGAATAATTATTAAGGACTAAGAAGAAGTAGCAGCAGAACAATAATACCTAGTATATTTAGCAGGGCAGAGGTGGGCGGCGGGATTCAAGAAAAAAATTAAAATAAAAAATGAGTGTGAGCAGCAAGTACTCCGTAGTTAGCGATTGATTGCGGGCTGTGGATGGGCTATGGATGGGTGATAGATAGGCTTGCGACAAGAACCCCCCAGCCAGCGTGCAGAACGGCCAGACAACCAGACAACCACACAAGCAGACATGCGAGAGCAGATAGAGAGAGGCAGAGAGAGGCAGAGAAAGAGAGAGAGAGAGATAGAGAGAGAGAGACAGAGACAGAGAATCAAGAGAGAAGAGTCAGCGACTTGGATACAGACCACCACCACCACCGCACATGCGCACGCACACACACTACTTACTACTCACACCATCACCGACACAGACGGAAACACAGCAGCACAACAACACAGGCCTCACACCACTTACACCACTCACACCACACGCACCACACACATCGTCTCGTCTCGTCTTGTCTCCTCTCCTCTCCTCTCCTCTCCCACAAGGCGGCGCGCGACGGGGGCAAGATAGGGTCCGACGACGCTGAGTGGTGCGTGTGTGTGGGCTGGCCACACCAACCACTGACACCAGCCGTCGGACTCGTCGCAATAGTGGTGAGACCAGGCACCGCAGCCCAGCAGCACAAGCAAGAACCAGCCAGTATGGAGTCTAGCGGCAAGAAAAGACCCCAAAAGCCAAAAAAAAAGAAAAAAGAAAAAAGAAAGTGCGCGAAGCGCATCAAGTCCCATCCCACCTCTCCATCCGCCCATCCATCCACCATCCACCATCCATATCGTCGTCGCCGTCGTCCACCATCCAGCCCCAGAGCCCGCAGCCGCAGGCCCGCAGGCCACTGTTGCACCCACTCAGCAGACGCTACCGACAAACCCTAGTCCGGGGCGACTAGGCGGGAAAATGGCGCAGCAACAACGAGGCACATTTTTTTCTACTGACCCCATCCCATCCCACCGCTGATCTTGGTGGTTCTAGGCTGGTTTGATCTCTCACACCTCGTAGAAAAGAAGAGTGAGAGCATGGAAGACGAGAGAGGCTGTTGTGTACACCCAAACTCCCTCGCTCTCCTCCATGGTTTTGCTTCTATTTTTTCACTAAAAGAAAAAAAAAAAAAAATTGAAGTTTGAAGAGGGAACAGAAAAAAAAAAAATCTAAAACGGCCTATGGTGGGTGGCCTAGAATGGCCCAGAAAATGAACGAGAAAGACAGACGGATGCCAAATCTGGCTACGAACTACTCTATGGTCAGATTTGTTATTATTTTATTATTATTATTTATTATTAATTATTTTTTGAGAATAGACAGCCAGAAGAAAAATTCCCTGCGCATGCCTCCAAAACCACTGGGATCTCTCCTGGATATGTATGTATGCCAGGTTTCATCATCGACAATAGTCCCTGTCCTCCTACAACCAGAACTACAGGGCCCTTTGAATAATAACGGTGAGAGAAGGGTTAGATACCCGTTCTGTCAGACAAGAGGAGCAAGGGCCTCTGCAGCTCTGCTTCCCTGAAATGATGGGTCCCGCAGTCTATCATTATTGGCGGGTCTGTAACTTTCGGTCCCCTCAGACTCTCACTGGCTGTTGAACGAGTCAGAACAAGAGGAAATCCCATCAGAGGGACTCAGAATAATAATAAAAAAGTAAAGTGGAACCCCCCCGGCCCTGCCCAGCGGCCAGCGCGAAGCGGGAGATTGGGAACAGAGTGTGGCACCGCAACCCCCAAGGGCCCCAGCTTAACCTTGGTCCCCGTCCCCTCCCCATTACTATCCAGTATTGACGGGTTAGGTTGATAGGCAAAAAAGTCTTGGGTAATGCGGAGGTTGAAACGCAGGGATGGATTGGCTCCTCGAACCTTCGAAACTCGCCACTGCGTATGCAAGGATTAGCCGTTACAATCAGACTGACCGTGCCCAAAAGTTTCAACCACCAATAATATGACGACTGGCTCTTGGATTTTTTACACTGGAATGGAATTGCCACTGCTACATCTCATCCGTGCACGCACAGTCGTGAGCAATAATAATGAAGAAAGAAAATAATGGGCAAAAAGGTCACCGAATAAAGAGAGGAAGATGACGGTGAGAATGTCCCAGCTTTTCGTGCATACCGGTACCTGACTCCGTTTCCACCCGCTAAATCTAGCTTAAGTTTAGCTCAAAAAGACAGTCGGCAAAAAAATAAAAAAGAAAAGAAAAGAAATTAAGTTCAAAACCCCAAAGAGAAGCCAAAAGTGAACAAAAAAAGCACATTTCTTGTTCTTCATATCGAATTATATCCACAGTACGGAGTACTCCGTAATCCGCCAATAATGCCTCCTAGGTCCTCAAGCGCGGCCCCAAGTGGCCCGCGTTATTCGGCTTGCTATCTCTCTTACCTCTCTTTGAAAGTTTCATCCGCCCAATGATGGGCAGACGATAGTTGCCGCCACTTTCAGTGACCAAAAAGCAACAGGCCAACCCAAGACCCAGGACCCAGCAAGCGTTTCGCGACGGAATTAGCGCCTCGTCCAAGGGCCGTTGTTGCCATTATTATTCCTAGTGTGGATTTGTGAGAGACCAGGGGTCTTCCTTTTGGCTTTCGTTCTATTTCTTTTTATTTCTTTTTATTTCTTTTTATTTCTTTTTATTTTTATTTTATGGGGATCATTACGAACCAGGGCACGGTCCCGCTACGAAACTTTTAGGTTAGCGGGTTCCTGAAAACCTTCTTCTTTCCTTCGAACATTATTCTTGGGTTCAATTTTTGAGTGGTTGTGTTTTTTGAAGCTTGTTGATTTCAGGACAAATCGATCCACCAAGAAAATTAAATTAAATTAAATAATAGAGGGAAACGGATAATATATATATATATAAGAAATATAATAACTCTTCCCTGAAACTTTTCCACCATAGACTGACTACTCAACAGAAATAAAAATAAAAATAAAAATAAAAAATAAGAAACTTACGGCAGAGAGACAAGGGAATGAAAAAGTATGCAAAAGAATCACTCCATCACATCAGAACTTCAGAAGTTTGCTGCATTTCGAGAGTTACTTTGCCAACAAGCCCACACACGCGCCTCATACTGGGTCTTGTGGTCACTTTCTGTTTGTTCTGTATTTTATTTTTTCCATATTCTTATTCCATCATACGATACGCTGATTCGAGGATAGGGAAGTTTGACAGGAACAGCCTTCTGAGTCTATTATTATTATTATTATTACTCGTCTATGCATTCCACGACTCACGATCTGCCTCTTCTTCTTTACTCTGTATATAATTAACTTTCTTTCTCGTCTGTGGAGGGTACTGATAATAAAATACTAATAGCTGCGTGTTTCCTCACAGCAAATTTTTTGAAGCATGAATGGGAATGGGAGCTTGATGTCATCAAAATGTTCATGTTGATTTCTTGGTTTGGGCATATCTGTGTGGTTAGATTAAATGGTGAAAAGTTAATGATGAAAAAGTTATCTCAATTCTGTGCAATTCCAGTTCCCTATCAATTGAATTGATGTGTCAGAGATGAATTGTTCTAGATTTATTATTATTTCAAGTTGATTGATCTTGTGAAAGAATAATACATAGCAACAGACTTGTGATGCAAGATATAATTCTGATTATCACTCATGTAACTATATATTGATATTGAATAATATATTAACAAATGCCACAAATATCAAAATGAAACACAATTTGTGTTAGAAAATGCAAATTTACACACCTCTTTACTATTAGTTATTAATTAAACAGTCTGCAGATTCAAGATAGAGTTGCATTTAGTTAATTTATTCCCAGCAATGCAACAGGTTCCCAGCAAGGGTTGTGCACAAGTCAATATATACCAGGTATTTATTCCTCGACGAGGAGGGGTATTGAGATCTCGATCCCATCCCTGAACGACGATGATTTTGTGCTAGAGCGAATGGTGCACCGCCTTTTCTATTATTTCCTTAGCATCCACCTCCATTTCAATATCCTAGTTGTGGAAGGGGAGTAGAATCTTCGTCTCCTGGTCCGATATGAAACCTCCATCCATTCAAGGGGCATTATTATATCTATTATTATATATAATACAGCTGGGATGATTTACATACTTTCTAGCCCTATCAGAAACGACACAATCCTTCGAGCCCAGGCTAGGCCAGGCAGCTTTGATAGAACAAGGACGACATTATTATTGACATTGCACACGGGTGCCACCGCCCGCTCCATGGCACACAGTAAATACTGTACGAGTATGTGCCTGGCTCTTGTCATTCCTCCCCCTCGCTCGTCCATTTTATCTATTATCTACACATCCATGTTGTTACCAGGATTCATATCACCAATTGATATTTTCTGGATGTCTTGTTTCACAAGTGCGAGGGCAAAAAAAAAGAGGCACAGAGATCCCCACTAGTTACCGATTTAACTACTCTTCATACAGAGTACACACAGGTGCGGTGCAACAGATGTGGGCCATATATAGTTATCTGTTGTCAGACATGCCAGTGTTGATAACAGGTATGGGATGTAGCTGTGGAATTTCCTGTTGTATTGGTTTAACATGTCGAGTTGTGATACTATATGATGTCTGTATTTTGAGCTTTGCTAGAGTAATAGATATTCATCAGACAGATAATCAATCATTCGTGCTTGGGGACATGAAATTGATAACCGCAGCCATGCCGTCATCGCACCTCATACGCCCACGCACACGACATGTCACATTTTCGTAGATACATAGCATACATAGCCTAGCACATCCGCGTGTTTGCAAAAGGAACACCACTTATGAGGATTCTGCTCTCATGGATGGGCCTCTGAGACATTTTTCTTTGCCCTGTACGTCCATTCTGTGGAAGGCACAAAAATGTAGAACAGAAGAGAGAAAAAAAGAAAAAGAAAAAGAAACCAAGAAGATCGACAGGAACCAAACCGTAACATGGCCTTTTACCAGTCGCCTTTTAGCTCTCTGTACATACCTGTGGATATTCTTCAATCACAATCACAATCAATCAACCAGCACGGACAAAGACAAAGCCCAAAGCCACCAAGAGTGGTTGGAAACTTCAAGAAGCTGTCTTCTGAAATTCTGAATAGGGCTCGACACATCCAATGGGATATTTTACCCTGTGGCGGCATACATGGTTCCTGGGTGACTGACATACATATATATACATATATGGTTTGAGCCAAGTACTGGGTGTCGTTTTTCGTCACGTCTCGAACAATATTCTGATAGTTCGGGGAATGAAAAAGGGTTTTTTTTTTTTTTTTTTTTTTCTCAAAGAGAAGCGGAATTGAATTGCGCCATTCTAGCTGAATCAAAGGTTGCATGCAACAAGACGAAAACGGCATGGGAACACATGAAGAGCTTAATATTGAATTGAATTGAAACAATAATAGGCTGTTACAATTGTTACAACTTGGTTCATTTTCTATTTGCTGTCCTTTCTATTATTCTGTAGTTGCCTGTAGCAATGTTTATGAGGGGGGATCTATCTATATTCTTGTTCACCGTCGATGTCGATGGGTCTACATAAATGATCGCCCGCGGAGCACGTGAAAAGGCTTATTTATCAAAGACCTCACAAGCCAGTCATACAATCTGCCAGATAACCAGGACTTTATACAGACGTAATAAATATCCCTTTGAATCCCTCTCATACTCCCCCACCCCACCCTTCATGCATCAAAATTACCATTTCTCTCACCCAATTTCCTCTCTAGGCAAATGGAGGGATTGGTCAGGAATCAAATCAAAATCAAGGCTCCCATCGCTAAGCACACACACATATACATACAAATAGCACCCAGTAACAGCAAACGGCGGTAGGTTGGATGAGGTGTATCCCCGCCGCGCCGGGATGCCTGGACATTGAACTAACTCCGACCGCGATAAGAAGGAAAGCGGCGGGAAAGTGGGAAAACGGCTGTGCAACGCACAAGCCATTTTCGGCCAAGCAAGAGAGAGATGGAGAGAGAAATTCCCCCCCGGTATGTGCGGGACTTCAGGGCTAGACGGGCAAATTGGGCACATTTTGGTTGGGCCATTTGCTGCGTGCCAATGTCCGTCCCACTGCATTTCCTTGCCCTGATTGATAGATCCAGCATTGACCAGGGAGATAACAAAGTGTTTCGCAGCCCCTGCAGTTGGGTTTTCGGGTGTATGAGGTCGGACAAAGATCTCGATCTCCGAAAAGAAATCTTGGCCGTGTCCTCTTTTGGTGCTTGTGACATTTTTTATTTTTGGATCCATTGTATCCCCGTCCCGGTCCGCATATCGATCATGAAATGTATTGAGCCACCGACATCATCGAGCAGAGAGATGTGAAACGCAGCTAGGGAAGTGCATGCACGTCTATGCATAAAAGTGCGCTCTTGATCACTTGTTCCATGCCTGTGCGCTTTGCTGCAAAGGGGTGAAGTAGGTACGTACGTGACACTTACTGAGAGTGGTTAGCCAGTGGCCAGTATTATTATTGCAAAATCGGATGGAGTAGAAACGACAACCATCATCTCAAGAGCGAGGTCATGGGCTCAGTGATCGGTGGGCTATAGATGTTCGAGACATCAGTCTCGAGTAGGAACACCCACCGCCAGGAAAAAAAAAAAAAAAAAAAAAAAAAAAAAAAAAAAAAGCAGATAATGAGCAAACAAGGAACTTATCCATCAAGCCTGGATGGTTTCCAACTTCATCAGGGACGTTGTTGCCTGGAAGCAAGTTGGTGTATCTGCATTTGTTCTCCTGGGGATGATGGAAAAGTTGTATTTTTATGTCCACGT